CTGTCCGGTTACTGGCACAATCACCCTACGTCTAGACTGAAAAATGCTTCCTCTCAAAATATAGACAGTTTTCTTGAATCTTATTCGAACTACAAACGATGTCAATACTTTAACGGTTACCAGTACGTGTTAGGACCTAAGAAACCAGGTCTGAGTTGCATTAAGATTTTTCCAAGAAACAGCTTCGCTATGCAGAAAGCAGATAACCAAATATAACAACTATTGATTGATCTAATAATAGCATCTTAGACAATGGAAATCCAGTTGTGCTACTCGTTGATTTTTTTTGGAAGAATCTTTAATAGAATTCGTATGTACGAGAAATGAGGCATGTTTGGCATCATGATAGATAGTTATCTTATGCGTTTTGAAGAGTTTTAGAAGCACCCTGTAAAATTTCCAATCTATTGACACTCAACGTGATTGAACTACTGCTCTCCTAACCTCGAAAAAGTAAGAATAGTGAACTATTTAGCATAAAACTGCATTATTTTACATTTTAAACATAATTGTGTATGAATACAATCAGGCTGGTATCGATTTCCCGTATACCCTGCATAGTAGTAAAGTTACTAGTGAATCAACGGTAGTCAGGTGATAGGGAGCCTGAAAATATATCGAATGAACCCCTATGTGTGGTCCGAAATTTTATAGTTTAGGAGATATTTACAATTTTTTGAAATGTCGAAAAAAACGGTATAATGAACTTTCAATCGCAATTACAACTTAAAATTGTCTGGTTTCTGGGTTACCAGAGCTGACAGACTTACAAACTGACACTGTGACTCAAGAGCTAAGGTCCCACGGACCGCTCTGACAACCAACGATGACTTGACTTGACCGTTAGGCTTAGGGCTGTGATTTTTTTTGAGATGAGCTTAATGGTTAGTTTTAGCAAGGGTTATGTCACTTTTCAACAGAGCTAATTAGAAATCAACGCAAAAAATCTTAAATTCATTTCTTTGTGAAAAATCTCTTCCATCCCTCAACTTTAGAGGGCGGTAAAAATATGTATGTCGTATTTCATTATTCGTTTTATTGTAAAAACTATTTCAATCCATGCAGAAAATTCCAGGTTGCTACGATAAGTGCCTTACTTTAAAAAATCTGTATGTTTGACGCAGGTATCTATACATATAAACAGGAAATCCTACTTTACGAGTGATACTGTGTGTATTAACATTTTGTAAAATCAAAATGGCAAATAGCCAAATTACTAAGTCAGGCGATGGTCCAGCGTTGAATTTGTATCTAACCTTTGGCATCTGACTCGAATCATGTTATATTATCCTCGAGATTATGCTGCCCTAGGAAATGCTCGAGCAGCTGCTCGCATGAATCTGGAGTATGTGATTAGAAGAGGTGGACCACAACCCGCGTTATATCCCGTCTACCGCGTTTTTCTACGCGTCCATAATGCGTATATGGAGGGCCGCATACTAGGTGCTCATTGTCAGCTAGGATCGCCGAGGATACGCCCAGAAGAAATAGAAGATGTAATAGAAGCAGCTCAGAGAGATCCCTCTATAAGCAGCAGAGCCATTGCCCGAGGCAGAAACATATTCCATATTTCAGTGAACAATACTACGCTCGGAGAACATGCATCCTTACCATGTACAAAAAGTACAAGAATTGCTTCTAAGCGACTATGCACAACGGGTTAAATTTTGTGAGAATATGTTGAGAAGGTGCGAAGGGGATGAAACTTTTTTCGATAGCATCTTATGGACAGATGAATCCAGCTTAAACCGAAATGGAATATTCAACCTGCACAATTTCCATTCATGGAGCGTAAAAAATCCACACGCTATTCGCCGACACGGCTTTCAACGTCAGTTCGGCGTTAGTTTATGAGCTGGAGTACTTAACAGAAAGTTAATTGGACCATATTAATTGCCCGCCAGGTTGAATGGTTAGTCATATGTACCTTTGGACGTTCGAAGCCGCCTGTATTTTCAATGCGGTGGTGCCCGATGCAGGGGCGGCTGGCCCTTAAGTTCTGCAGAGCTGCAGAACTGCCAAAACTTTTCAAAACTTTTGTGTTAACAGAAAAAATCAGTAGTAATTTGATCATTATTTATTTTCCATGTTATCACCCAACTAGAAACAATACTGGCTACGCTGCCCCCGCAAGACACAGCGTCGAGTCTGTTTTGTATTGAGAAAGCAGTATAATCGACCAATTGTGTACTTGTCATTTTCGTCGCGACCGCGGCGTAACATTATTCATGGGCCACTTGAAAGGGGTCTGTGCACTACTTCGACACAAGCCGCACGCGCTTGCTTTTGTCTCTCTCTACAAAATCAAATGTGCGATTTAAGCATAAGCATGTACTGCACGTTTTACAGATACGTACAGATCTAATGCGAAGTACGATATCTGATTGGTCGGTCGGTGCTCGGTATAAAATTTTGTGGAGCATTTGAATTGGCGCTACGGGCCCCGACGAAACCGAGAGCTCCCAAAACCCGGGAATATTTCGTGGACTGATTAATTTTTCTGCTGATCTTGATACAACCTTAAGCGAACACATAAAAAATGCTTCAATATTTAAAGGAACTTCGAAAGAAATACAAAACGATCTACTGGATTGTATTCTTGAAGTTTGTCATGAAGAAATAATAAAACAGATTTACAGAGCCTCGTATTTGGCGATAATAGCAGATGAAACAACGGACATTTCGGTGAAAATCCAACTAGTAACAATTTTCAGATACGTTGTTAACGGCGAACCAGTAGACCGTCTTTGGAATTATATGAATTCCGAAAAATGTGACGCGGATACTCTCACAAGATATATTTTGACCGTCCTAGATCCATTAATAGGAAATTTCCCTAACAAACTGGTTTCACAAAGCTATGACGGAGCCGCGGTAATGAGCGGACATAATGCTGGAGTACAGGCAAAAATTAAACAAAGATATGCGTTTGCTCACTATGTGCATTGCGATGCCCAGCAGTTAAACCTGATTATGTCCCAAGCTGCTTCCGCAAATGCTCAAGTTCGGGTGTTCTTTGGGGATTTGAAAGTTATTCCGGGATTTTTTAATAATTCTCCTCAATGCCTAGAGGTACTGAACAGAATTGTGAGGAAAAAATCCCCAAGGAGCAACAACTCGTTGGAATTTTAATATTCGAACAATAAATGTAGTGTTTGAGAACAGCGAATCACTCGTTGAATGCATGGAAGAAATAGAAGAAAATTTCACTAATGAAACCATTTGCAAGGCAGCTTGCGGTATTCGCCGTATGTTAAACGATTCTGTTTTCGTGTTTTGGTTGATATTTTTTCATCTTGTCATGCCTCACGTCGACATCTTGTTCAACCAGTTGCAGAAGAGAAAAACCGAGCCAGCGCAAGTTAAAACGGCTATCGATAATTTTGTAAAATGTATTGTCGATGTGAGAAATAAAATTGATGTCATAATAAATGAAGCCAAAAGTATTTGCAGACGACGTAATAATAGCACTAACGATCAGCGAGTTGCCGCATTAGAAGTATGCGACAATAAGCGAATTCTGCAAATGACAGATTTCAATTCAAAGATCATTTGGTAGCCGCATCCCTTTTTTCCCCGAACACTGGAGAAGACTGTGGTAAGTTTCCTGATGACAAATTGGAAACTACCTGCTTGGCTTATCCCGAATTAGACAAAGGTCGTTCAAAGACAGAGTTGTCTGTTATTTATGCACGGAATGGTTGCCGAGATTTACATGGAAGTCTATCTTTTTTGAAATTTTTGATACAAAATAGTTTGGAGGAAACACTAAAAGAAACAAAAAAGCTATTAGAAATTATTGTTACAACTCCTATGTCAACCTCAGAGGCTCAGGCGAAATTTCTCAACATTGAAAAGAATCAAGGCTTTTCTTTGTAATACTATGACCCAGGATCGCCTTACAGCGTTATCGATGCTGTCCATTGAAAAGAAATTTATTTCGACCATGGAAGATTTCAACGGGAAGGTGATCGATAAATTTGCTGCCTAGACGCAGCGCAGAATCGAACTGACATAAAAAATAGGTAAGTTCGGATTTGCAGAACACCTGTTTTATTTTTCCACGAGCCGCCACTGGCCCCATGCCACTTTGCAAGGGATGTACGGGATTACTTAGACAGTGCCTTTCCTGGGCGTTGAATAGGTAGAGGTGGACACATACGATGGCCTCCAAGGTCACTCGATTTAAATCCGCTCGATTTTTTTATATGGGGGTTTTATAAGGGAATAATCTATACATCTGAATATAAGAATGTCAACCAACTACGCCAGAAAACTGATAAAGCAAAAATAAAAATTATGGAGAACGCAAATTCATTTCAAAGACTAAAACGGACAATTTTATTAAAAAGTGTCGTTGTGTATAGAAAATAATGGAGGCCATTTCGAACATGTTCTTTAAAAGTTAGTTAAATTAAATTATCTTCCACAGTTGTCATTAAATCGCCATAAACACGGCTAAACACAATAGGTTCTGTACTTGTGGGTAGTAAGAGTTCTATTGCGTTTCTTACGTTTATCGCATCACAACAGCGAATGTGACATGATACACTCATCGTAGCAAGCTGACATTTTCAGGGTTTATTCTACATGGATTGAAATAGTTCTTGCAATAAAATGAATAATGGAATATAACCTCATTTTTTTTACCCCTAATAAATAAATTTCAAGATTTTTTGCGTTGATTTCTAATAAGCTCTGTTAACAAATGGCTTAACCATTGTTAAAACTAGCCATTCAGCTCATCTCATAAAAAATAAGAGCCCTAAACTAAGGTTTAGTTGTACTTGTGATTAGAAGTTCATTATACCGTTTTTTTTTCGAAATATTACAAAATTGCAAATACCTCCTGAAATATAAAATTTCGGACCATACATATAGGGGTTCATTTGATAGGTTTTGAGACCTTCTATCACCTGACTTCCGTTGATCCACTACTAACTTCAAACCCTGTATAATCTCTTAAATTTGCGAACACAAAAGAATTGATAAGCACTTACTTGACTAAACAACTCTGCTTGGTGGTACTACTTTATGTGAACAATAATTGTTGATGTACTGCTTTATTAATGCACGATAAAACAAATCCATTTTGGATTAACATATTTAAATCATTCGGTATAGATTCAATGCAAATTTTTATTACAATATGTCATCAAGGTAGAATTCGGCTTTTCACTGTCTCTGGCTTAAAAACATGGATCATACACTGGCTAGAAAAGAAATGTTTCTAATATGAGATGGCGGGGGATAAGATATAAAAATTGAAAAACTGGTAGCGTATCTTAACATTAAGAAAAACCAGTTGCTAAAGGATCATGGTGAGGCGTGGTTTTCGGCACTGAAGATAGCTCTAATTTTAAGTCGATCCCACCTATTATACATTTTTGCAGGTTTGCAATAGGATCTGTCTGCCTTTTGTCACTGAGACAATAATCAACGATATACAATGCTGTTTTATGCTTGTTAGGAACTATCACTACTGCATCGGCCTACTTATTTGCAAATGGAAAATGGGTCCATTGAAAGACACAATATTGAGCGAAAGATAAAGGTGTCAGGCAACCTCTAAGTAGATCCTCTTTTTTAGTTCTTGATTGTTTTTGTAATAATGCAAAGTTAGCAATTTCGTCATTTTTGTCCATACCCAATATTTAACTGGGTATTTTTATTTGAGCGCATCACTTAATCCAAGTATATGATAAGACATACAAAAATACAAAACATACTTAATAGGTAAAAATAAAACATGGATAAAAATAAGTGCTGCCCCACTACGATCACAAAAAAACAAATTGACACAAAGCAATACACAATTACGTATAATGAGACTTTAACTTTTGTTTTTAATGCGGGCGCGGTGAAGCAATATTTTTATATATGTCTGATCAATTAGTGTCTTATTAATTAATGTGTTATCATAGAGAATGATTGAATTTTCTAAAAAAATGTCAAAATTGCGAACTTTTGGCTATTAAAGATTTATCAAATGCTAAAATGAGAAATAGCGTCAAATAAGTTGACTCAATATTTCCAATGCAACGCTGTCAACAGTTTATAAAGGATTATTTTGATAGTTAACTACGAACTAGTATAATACAAAAAATAAGAACTCAATGAATCAATTGAGCCAAATAGGTCTATAGAATTAGTCTATAGTCCCAGCCATTTGATAACCCTGCGATCTAGAAGCTTCTTCCCGGGTCTTACTGAAAGTATCAACGATTTGACAGCGTCAGACATGCTATGAACAGCTCCAGCAGTATTGCGGTAGAGAGATTAGGCGGCAGTCGCAGACCGGATTTAGTGGATACTGGGGTAAGTTCGTAGCGTATGGCAGGTACGACCTAGACGCGATACGTCCGTTTGATATTTCTTCAAGTCTTGAGAGCAAATATACGAGGAAGGCTATGATTTATGATATACAGGGTGACACCACCCCCACAATCTTAAATGGAAAGGGGGGTCGAGTGATACCTTATTTTAAAGGTCTTTCAGTTCCCATTATAATGATATAAAATTAATGTACTTCAGTTCAGTAGTTTTGAAGATTTATTGATTTAAAGCTTAAATAAAACTAATACATCATCATTAGTAGAGATCAATACATTTGGCAGCAAAGTAATTTAAAAATGAAGAATGAACTGACCCGTTAGGCAAGTAAATGTTGAAAATGGCCACCATGACTCTCCATGCAAAGATAAAGATTTTGCTCAAAACGTTGCCGCACATTTTGCAATATTTGAGGAGTAGTTTGAAGGCACTCATTCACAATTCTTTGTCGCAGGTCTTCTAATGATGTTGGCTGAGTAGCATAGATTTTGCTTTTTAATTGACCCCACATAGAGAAATAGAGGTAATAAATCTGGCGATCTTGGGGTCATTCAATGGCGCCTCTTCTACCAATCCATCGATCTGGAAACGTCTGATCTAAATATTGTCGAACACGTAATGCGTAATGTGGTGGGGCACCATCCTGTTGGAACATGAACCTATTCGCAATGTACCGCCGATCATTCTGATTTTCAATTATGACTGTTAATGCAGGATCTATGGCGTCTTCCAGTAATTCCAAATCCATTTCACCTGTCAAATTTCCAGGTAAGAAAAAAGGACCAACTAAATGATCGCCAAAAATACCAGCCCAAACATTTAATTTTTGTGGCTGCTGTGTATGAACCTCATGATAAAATCTGGGATTCGAATCGGACCAATATCGGCAATTATGACGATTTACTACGCCATTTAAGAAAAAGGAAAATTCCTCGGAAAAGCAAGTGTTGAATAGAAAATGTTCATCGTTTATAATTCGTTCACTCATATCTTCACAAAATTGTAATCGCCGATCAAAATCGTCTTCATTAAGTTCTTGTACCAGCTGAATTTTATGTGGATGAAAACTATGCGCCTTTAGAATCCGTTGGACAGTACGTCGACTAACACCACACACAGTCTCCAGTTTGCGGGTACTTAACGTAGGATCTACATAAACTTGCCCTAAAACCCCCACTTCTATTGCTTCGTTCCTTATGGAATTTTGAATGTTGCATCTTGTATTGGCGACTGGTCCAGTTTCCCGAAATTTAGCTACAAGTTCTATATATTTTCGATGCACGTTACTGTTCTCACGACGCTCATTAAATATTTCTGCTGTTCTGTTAGCGCACTGATTATTTCCGAAAAATATTTCGATAAATTCAACACTTTCTGCTGTGGAATATACCATGGTTAATTTATGTAATAGAGTGTTACAAGTTATTTTAGCAACAAAGTTTGGTCAAATCAATCGCAAACTATGTACTAAATTCCTGTTTAAAATAAGTACGAGATATTTCCTTATCTTTCTTCAAGAAATAACTTTTTTGCCACAAAAAACGCTCCAATAGCTATTTTCAACAACAAAATGATAAACAAGCCATGGGCGTAGTGAAGAAAAGCATTTGCTTATTAAGTAAATTCTTTTAGTCGAATTTCTTCTGAAAGTAGTACAAACTAATCTGATGTACCTGTTAATGTCTACTTTAAGCTTTAAATCAATAAATCTTCAAAACTACTGAACTCATGTATCTTACATCATTATAAAGGAATTGATAGACCTTTACAATAAGGTATCACTCGACCCCCCTTTCCTTTTAAGATTTTAGGGTTGGTGTCACCCCCGCCCAGGGGGCTGCACGTGTTAACGTGATCTTTTTCCAAACTTGTGACTCCCTCGAAAATAAAATCGACGGGTCTGAGCGTTTTTCCAAAAAAAAAAACTGAGCTGCTAGTAAATGCGTCTGTTTCGTTTTCGATGCGCCACCCTGTATGTTCTAATAGGTGCGTAGAATTGCCGGGGTTCGAAGGGTATGAATATTATATTGACAAAAAATTGAGATATACTCTCCACCATCCCCGACAACCCCAACACCCTGTTTTTAACCCCTACAAAAAATTTATGACAATGATCAGGAGCATCTGAAATGCCAAAAAAAGTATAAGCAATTTTTATTTTTATGCTTTTTGCCTTTATTTTTTGTCGTCACTGCATATATTTTTGAAATCTTCTTCAAAGATTTTACGTCCAGCATATAGTAGTAACCTTGTGTGAACAATTCATCGCAATCCGAGCGGTACTTTCCAAGTTATAAACGGGTCATGAATTAGAAGTCAGGCAGACAGACAGGCCGACAAAAATGAGTGACACCGTTTTTGATGATCAGTAGACCTGTACTAGTTCGAGCAAGTTCGAAAGCACATAAGACCACGGCTCGCACTGTGAATAAAATTAAATCATGCAATTCTAGGCCCATCCAATTACTTTTCCCCACATACAAATTCCTTAATTGATTCTTAGATCAATTGAAAATTACTGAATACTAGTTACCACTTCAACACACGCACTTCCTGCTCTTTGCTCTTCCCCCTTCCTTTCTTTCTTCATCCCTTCTTTCTCCCTGACTTTGTCCGATATCTTGGCAACCAGTCCTACTGACCTACAATACTTTAACCAAAAACAAAGGTCCCACGTACCGCTCTGGCGAACAATGACAAGTAAAAGATCGTTTTTGATGATGTTACAATACTTCCTCGCCTGTAGGCGTGGAAAGTGAGCGAAAAAATGTTGATCCAAGTTTTAAATACATATGCTCATATAATATTTGAATGCCAAAATTTCACGGATGCGAACAATTTGAAATTTGAGGTACTTTAAATGCTGCAAATCTCGCCTATAGACCCTGATCCTTTCTTCCACGAATACAAAGTTTTCGCCTCGTCCTAAACGTCTTATTCTTAGTAACCGCCGTGACTGTAGTGGAAACTAGCAGTCCTTTTAACAATGAGATGTCTCCTAAGACAGTATATGACGATACCACAACAGCGAAAACTTCTTTTACCGCTTGAAAATCGCGCCTTAAACAATAAATGCTCGAAAACGAAAGTCGCAGCTTTATCTTCAAACCGACGCTGGCGTTAATCCGAATCGGAACCCCCTCCCTAACGTAAATCAAGTGTATCGCTCCATGAATACACAATTCTCCGTCTGGCTGTAGATGTACCTGCCCTTAACGCCACCCTTAACGCCCTAACGCGTCGGTAAATCCAGCCTTATCTTGGGAAGACTGCAACTGAATTTCAGACGGCACTCGAATTGTCTTCTGAACAGAATGAGATTCGCTGATATCGGAGATATACAGAGACAGAGTCACCGTTACAGGGAAAAATCGGAAAATCTGTATGAATATTAATCGCATCGAGGTACTTCTTTGCATTCGTAATGAATGGGGAAATTTCTTTAGGGAACCGACATTAAAAAGGAAAGAATTGTCCAATTTCTTCCAGCTTATACATATGTATATACATAAGAACGGACAGAGCCAAGCCTATATGTTTACATTGCATTTTCGCCAATATTGTGTAGATTTAAGGGTGTATCGTCATAGAGCGCTTACACGAAACAGTGAAGGACAGGAAAAACTATGAGAATCAATGAGGCCATAAAGGCGTCCTACAATAATTGTAGAAACGACTGACGATACGGCCCTTAGTGCATACTTTTGTACAGTTGTCTACTAGTGC